TTTTCGTTCATTGTTTAACCTAATATCAAGCAGTTGGATTTCTCGTTTGAATCGTTTAACATTTTGTTTAATGATGAAGCCTTTTATACCTTACTTTACAGTATTGGTTGTTATTGTTGAAAGCCATACGCTGACCTATAGTTGAGTATATTCATGACATTTGGTCTCATGTCACATTGGCAATCATACTTCATCTTCTTATTTCTATGATAATATGTCGTAATAAAGACTGAATTCGACGGAGACATATATGTTATCGCATGTATTCATTTATAAGAATGAATAACCTAACATGCTCGTAACGGACATTTCTGATTATACAAAACCAACCACACTTATGTGAAAATAAGGAGATGTAGTTAATTGTCAATGAGAAAAACTATCCACCAAAGTTCAAATGAAGTGGATGTAAGAAATTAACTTGTTAAACAGTCACAACACAAAACCTATATTGGATACATTTAATATTCTTAAAACAGTACACGCATATCTTTCTGTTGCAATAAGTTGTGAAATACTATACGTACTATATAATAATAAGAAGATGTGGTATGATTGCCAATGAGACAACTCTCCACAAGAGACCAAATGACATAGAAAGAAACAACTACTAGTATAGGTCACCGTATGGCCTTCAACAATGAGCAAAATCCATACCGCATAGTCAACTATAAAAGGCCTCGAAATGAAAAATGTAAAACAATTCAAACGAAAAAACTAACGGCCTGATTTATGTATAAAATAATGATCGAAAAACAAATATGATATACAGCAAAAAACGACAACAACTGAATGTTTGTTTTGGTCTAATGACCTTTGACGTGGCTCTGTATTTATGCATCTCGCTATCGGGTTTATGACTTTGGGCGTTTCTGATGCAGGTGGGTCTTGAGGAGAGATTCGGATGCAAGAAGTGTTTTTTTTCAGTGTTGTTTCCATTGTGTTTACCCTTATTTTTATATTCTACTTAATTTTTACTTTCTCGAGATGATAAATGCTATATACGGTATGTACTATCAACTACAAAAACCTATTTATCGGCGTCTTTGTAGACATACTAACTTCTACAACAAAATTTTTGCTGGCGTCTTTGTCAAATCTACTATCGACTCCATTACCTTTTTTGCTGGCGTCTTTGCTAGATTTATTTGTATGATTGTTAAAATTTTTTTTATTCTGTTGTTATGTATGTTTACACAGTTTTGGCTGCTGGATCCCAATTGTTGTCACATTTACCTATCATATAGATATAGGAAGATGTGGTATGAGTGCCAATGAGACAACTCTCCATCCAAGTTACAATTTATAAAAGTAAACCATTATAGGTCAAGGTACGGCCTTCAACACGGAGCATTGGCTCACACCGAACAGCAAGCTAAAAAGGGCCCCAAAAAATTACTAGTGTAAAACCATGACTGTTTGGGTTGCTCACTGATTTTTGTTAATACAACGGAACTATTCACGACTGTCATACAAGTGGAAGGTTTAGCTAGCTATAAAACCAGGATTAAACTACCATTATCTTCGGAAAATGCCTGTACCAAGTAAGGAATATGACTTTTTTTCACTTGTTCGTTTATTGATAACGTTGGTTTTGTCAGTTTTTACGGACTTCCCTTTTTTGAATTTACCTTGGAGTTCGCTATTTTTGTTATATTTTTTTTTAAGGTTCAAACACTAGCAGCTCTTTCATCAGCACCATAACAAAGCAAAGCTATACCATCTTCGCGAATTCAAACTGTAAAACGGAGAACTCAATTATGTAGTAAAATATAACACCTGTGGTACCAGAACTTGGGAGAAAAAATGGACTTTTTTTTTACATTTGGCTGATTAAACATCAATCATGGTACAAAACTAACAAAAACTGTCCCCTCACAAGACATACTGGCTCGAAGAATTACCCATTTGAGAACTTTTCAATTTTCAAAAAAGTGAAAACTGAGGGAGATTCCGCGACAAGGTGGACAAAAAAAAACGTTTTGAAATTTCAGCTCAAAATTTAGAACCCCATATTTTCAATGAAAATGATGAAAACCGTTACAGGAAAGATTTAGTACTATTGTCAATATGAGGGAACTATAAGTTACAAATGTCATACAGGTGGGAGGTTTAGTTAGCTATAAAACCAGCTTTAACCCATGATTTTGTCAGAAAATAATTTTACCAAGTCAGGAATATGACAATCTTTTTTTCATTTGTTCCATTGGTTAAACGATTTAACGTTTGATTTTTTTTCTGGTTTATTGGACTTCCCCCTTTTTTAATTTACCTTGGAGTATTTTTGTTAACACTTTTTTTTCATATTGCAGCATCGTCCTCAACATTTTTGTAATATTGGCCAATGAACGTTGCGGAATAACCTTACTATAAGTGATGTGTTAAAATTACAGTGTTAGACAATCTATATATATATACATAATATTTCTATACATAAGTTTATCGACAGGTTGTAGGTATTCCTATGGGCAACAATTGCGCCCTTTAATAGCAGCCTTGTTCTTGTACTGTTATGAATGATAGTTTATGACCGAACTCAGTAAAGACCCGTCTAAATTGTATTTAATTGATAAGTTCAACAACACTTACCGTTATCGTGATGACATTTTACGTTGAATAATCAAGAGTTTTCTAAACATACTGCCGAAATTTACCCAAAGGAACTTACTTTGAATAATTCAAATATAAAAGGTAATGACTGTCCTTTCCTAGATTTAGATATTTCAGTTTTACACGGGAAACTCTACACTAAAATTTACCACAAAAGGGACGAATTTTCGTTCCCTATTGTTGATTTTCCTTTTTTGGACGGTGATGTTCCTTTGGCACCATTTTATGGTAATTATATATCACAACTTGTTCGCTATATATGCCCTAGTCTGTTGTGAAGTTTAAAATTGAAATGAACGTAATCTATGTATTAATGGTAAATTATTAAGTCGGGGATTTCGTTACCACAAATTACTTAAAACCTTTACTAAATTCTTCCATAAATATAAAGATTTGGTTTTGAAGTTTTGTTGTACGTGTAGAAAACGTATTTCAAACGGAATAGCACATCATAATTTTTACGTAGATGTTGTTTACCGAGCCCGGAACTCTAGATACGATCCGGGTAAACTTATCGATCCTTTAAATAAACTTATTCTAAAAGGTTACCAATTCAACACTGTAACTGGATCTTTGAATATTGATTTTATTGGTATTAATATTGATTTTGTTATCAGTAAATTAAAATCAAACTAAATATTATTTTTATATACATATGCACATTCATGGCTCGATACCTGAATCTTGGCATTGCACAAGGTCATGTTTTTCTCTGACTGTAAATGACGTCTTTACACTGAATCCATTGGATGTTGGATGTGGACTGATTTATATTTTAGTCTTAGAAGCATGATTTTTTTTATTAGTTGTTATTGGCTTTGAACTAGCTGTCAGTAACTGCGAGTACGCTCAGATTTGTACTTAGTGTCTTTGTTGTGGGGATGTATAAGTACCCTGCCACGTTCACTCTGTGATTTTGTTAGATATATTTCTATTTGTATCCATCTGATGAGTCTTTTTCAACTGAATTTTATAGTTTGTTCTTATATTGTACTGTCACACCACTGTACCAGGTTAGGGGAGGGTTGGAGCCTTGAAACTAGTTTAACTCCGCCACATACTTTATGTGTCTGTCCAAAGTCAGGAGCCTGCAATTCAGTGGCCGTTTGTTGCTGTATATCATATTTGTTTTTCGTTCATTATTTTGTACATAAATCAGGCCGTTAGTTTTCTAGTTTGAATTGTTTTACATTTGTCATTTTGTGCCCTTTTATAGCTGACTATTCAGTATGGGTTTTGCTCATTGTTGAAGGCCGTACGGTGACATTTAGTTGTTAATTTCTGTGTCATTTGGTCTCTTGTGTATAATTGTCTCATAGGCAATCATACCACATCTTTATTTTTATTAGATAAACAATATCTTTTTTTATTGATGTGTATCTCGTACAAAAATGCTTATAAAACGACCCAATCTCTACATGGAATGTTACGAGAAACATTATACATTTAACTTGTAGTGATATATGATACTTTATGTAGCATGTATTAGACATTTCCGTGGTGGATTCTGATTGCTAATTTCTCAATTACACTAATTGGCTGTAATTGAGTGGTTGTCGTTTTTTGTGTTTCTCATATTTATTTTTCGTTTATTTGTTTGCACAGATTGTTCTTGGTTTGTGTGTCGTTACATTGCTGTCCCCGGTTAGTGGTAGGGTTGGCGCCTTCAAACTAGTTTAACTCCGCCACAGTCTGTATGTGCCTGTCCCAAGTCAGGAGCCTGTAATTCATTTGTTTGTACATAAATAAGGCCGCTTGTTTTCTCGTTTGAATTGTTTTACATTTGTCATTTACGGGCCTTTTATAGCTGACTATGCGGTATGGGTTTTGCTCATTGTTGAAGGCCGTACGGTGACATATAGTTGTTAATTTCTGTGTCATTTGGTGTCTTGTGGATAGTTGTCTCATTGGCAATCATACCATATCTTCTTACTTTTATATTATATGTACATTGTCGGAAAAAATTAGTGCAAAATGAACTGTCACACAAAAACAAATATTAACATTACCGTTTGTTCAATATGGAAGCGGAGTAACAGGAGACTTTATTTGTATACCTGTTATTTGAATGATAGAAGGCCAACTACAGGATGAATGCATTTATTCACGTAAAGATATGATTCTTAAGAAAACACCCAACCATGAAACGAAGTAGATACCAGAATAGGTTACCTAGCTGTATTTTGCCAAACCTTTTGGAATTTTGGGTCCTAAATGCTCTTCAAATTCCTTCTTTGTTTTGGCCTTTTTTACTTTGTTGATTCGAGCGACACTGATGAGTCTTTTGGCGTACATAATTTAGATCCTGGTATCTTTAAAGAGTTTATTGCCTTGAAATAGTGATGCTACAGAAACACTAACTTGTATAAAGCTAAAAAGATGAAATGGTATCGTATAATAAAATTACTTTATTTTGAATGCAGCTAATTGTTCTCATACAGTATGAATATAAGATAAATATTATACAAAATATATTACATAAAAACACAATTTTTTCAATGATGATTGAATGAAACGGAGTATTGCTTTCATTCATAATATAAAAAAAAAACCATTCAAAACAATTGAAAAAGTACATACTTTTCTACAGAATACATGTATTTTAGCTGAATCGTTAGTCACTTTGATATATTTGACAGGTAACGGTTGTACTTATTTTTGAGTCTAAGTTTTCCTTTAATAAATACTTTTGAAGTATTAACGTCGAAAATCACTTTATTAATCACATTCTAAAATGAAGTTCTACTGGTCTTCAACAACTATTTCATAGACATATAACAATGATGTTAATAATATCAGGCTATTGATACACAGGAGCAGAATTTAGATACACTTTATCTATCATGGCATATAAACTCATCATAGATAAATCATAGGTATATTTTAAAATATTCAAAATAAAGATAAACCTTAATATATATAGCTATTTGAAAAATAACTAGCTTTTTACACATTTACGACAACCAACCATCATAAGCCATATTTATATAACATAAAAAACAAATTTAGACTGTTAGTCCCCGAGGGTATCACCAGCCCTGTAGCCAGATCTTCGGCACTGGCATGAAAATACAGATTTTTTGTTATTAACATTTGCTGTTGTAAAATTTTAGAAATTATTTTAAATTAAGGAATATATCTCCCTCATGCAAAGCTCTGATTCCTTGCCCGGCTTTGGCTATACTCTTTTGATCTTTTTTGGATTATAGCTCTTCATCTTTTTAATAAGCTTTGGATTTTCAAATATTTTGGCCTCGTGCAACACTGAAGAGACATTTCTTGTCGAAATGCGCATCTGGTGCAGAAATATTGGTACCGTTAAAGTTATAACATGACCAATTGAGATTGTTACTTAGTCTTGGCATCACAAAACTAGACCTATTTGTCATACAGATACTTTCTTTTCATTTTCTGAAAAAAACTTAGTTATGCTGCCAGGATTAAATTAAAAAAAGGAAATGCCGTTTTTTCTGTTTAATAACCCACCCTTGGAAGATTCAGGACAGAACGTCTAAACGTTATGACGTCATTGATTTCAAAAATACCTGTTTGTGTAAAAACCAATAAAATCAAAGGTACAGAGATTGACATGCAAAAAAGATATACAAATAATACATAGTACGGTAGAGGTGAGTTAACATTGATGTATAGTAAGAAATACAATATGAAAAAAAAAACAACAACAATAAAGTAATGTGGTCTAGCTAGAAGTATTTGTAATTAGTTTACATCGTTTGCAGAAAAATTAATATCGAAAAATTAAAACAACTTTATAAACTTCATGCGTCCGAAGCGCTTTTATGGATTACCTTCATCAGGATTGCCTGAAGCCGAATATTTGTAAGCCAAGATTGTATCAGACCCTGAAAAGTTACTTTCTAAAGCTTACTGTAGACCATAATGTTTTAAGTTTTTAGCAATTCTAAAATCAAATTTCGGCGCACTAATAACCCGTTCGTCGTTGAAAACAGAATTTTCTACCAACCTTAGTTCTAATTGGTTTCAAAGGACGATGAAAATCAAACGACCACTATTTAATGAGCTCAAACACGACACTCGTCTAAAGAAAGGTCACTTTCAGTGGGTTCATCACTTTTGATAGGGAATTCAACTTTGATTTCCTTATATTCACTTTTTTTTTGGGGTGATGGATCAGTTAGTAGACTAGCATCAGTAATGTCTTCAATTTCAAAACTTGTTTCATATTTTGTAAACATTGGTTTCAGCTCATCCCAAAACAATTTCTGTTCTGTTCCACAATCACACAAATCATGGGACCTAAAAAAATATTTCCGTAAAATCAAGGGAATTAATCCACCGCCCAATGTTGCTAAAGCTAGATAGGTGCCTGTGACCCCTTTTGACTGACCGAAAGCTAAAACGATTGTTGCAACCAAAAGAAGAAACAAAACAATAATGAAAAAATGAATAAAAGCTTTTTTATAATTTCCCCATAATGAACCAGGGGCCCCATTTGAATTCATGCGACACATTATGAAAAAAACTTCCTCATTTATTGAAGGTTTACCGTGATCATCGAAAAATACAAATGGCATCGTAGATGATAACACAATCTTATTGTTTTCGACGACTATTGATTGAGATGGTGCATTACGATCTTCAGCTTGTTCTAACTGCATTGCCATGCCGCTTTTGAGATCTTTCAGGTTCCTAATGATATATTTAAACACAGTTTGACTGAACCGCTCATATTTATTTAGAACTTGTCTTATTGAATTGTACGCATAAAAAATAAGAATTCCTGCAAAAGTAACGTACGTGACAACTTGGGAAGCATTTAGTATAACTCCTATTGCAACATACATTAGAATCTGAAGAAAAAAAAACTATTACTTCAAGACACAAAATCAAAGAAGTAGCAAACGACAGAAGAAACAAAATATAACAGATCAGTAAAACCGTAAACTTAAGTAATGCTTTTTTTGTGATGTGTTTTTTCTTAAAGATTTTTTGGGCGTATTCGTTTATATCTAGCATAAATGAAAATAATAATAAAAAAGACGTAGTGACAAGAGGAATGTAGGGAAGTATATACCTAATTATGATATATGGAGCAATCAAAGCCAAATATATCGGGCATATAACAATTCCAAAGATACCACATTTTGTACAAGGTTTCAACACGTTTTTCAAGCCGCTCTTGAAAAGCTTATTAATGTCTTTGGCATATTTATCAATTCTGGCTTTATCTAATACACGTTTAATAGAAGATTTGATAAAAAATGTAAAGAAAGGTAAAACATAACACATTATAAAAAATGAATGGTCTGGTTTTAACGAATATGTCAAATTCCATTGGAAAACATTTGGATACTCAAGATTTAATGTATTTGCAAAATGTTCCCTTTCACTTCTGTCATTTTCCTCATACAAATAAAAGAACAATACACGTAAACACCATGGAATTAAGAGGCAAATTACAAACAGAATCTGCACGAATAACTGCAAAAATGAAAGCCATTTCAAGTCCTCGGAACATAGACAGCATTTAGCTTCACAGCAATCTTTAACGTATTCATGATCTTTCACACGACATTCTACAAATGTTCTATATAAAAAATGAAACATACTTCCCGGAACAAAACTTGAAGAGGCTGTTTTTGTGTCTTGAAGTCTTATCTTTACTTCTTTGATATCCAAATAAACACAGGAAGGCTTATCTATTTTAATGACATATGATTTTAATTTTGTCATATGCTTAATATTATTATTTTTTAAAATATCTGTGTTTTCATCTCCTTTTGATGTTTCATCTTCTTTTGTCAAAAAAATACTTATTGCTTTACTTGGACAAAAAGTAAAAGTTGCTACATTTTTCTTGTACCAAGATGTTGGTATTAAGAGTGGTGAATATAAGAATGCAACAATATATATGAAAGTCATGGCAAAAAATAAAATATTTACCCAAAATGTTTTTTCAATGATGCTACATTCAAATGAAAAGTTGGCATTCCGGAAGCAACATTTGTAGTAAAATTCGGCGCGCCCATTAATGTTGTCTACATAAATACTGCAAATACGTTGATCGGAACTGGAATTCTCTAATAAACGAAATTCTTTTGTGGCAAACGCTATCAAATTTTTATGTACGTGTTCCTCTGTTGAGTTGAAGAAGCACTCACTTGACATGTGTTTAAGCTGAATATCTACATGTTCTACACCAAACACCAAAGTTCCTAAGGAAAGCTGTTCAAACTGTGGATGCAAACGTAGCAACTCATTTCCAAAGCCACCTGCTGTTCGAACTAAATTTAACATTTTATAAATTTTTGCTCCTGATTCAAATGGAAAGATATTTGAGAAATTTTGAAGATGAAAATGAATAAAAATAAGTTCTTTCTTTTCATCTATGAATTTCAATATCTGTTCTTTACCACTGTGATCTTCTGTTTCAAACGAACAATCAAACAAACCTAAACTGGCATAGGTCTGATTTGAATCATGTGACTCACTGTCATTACTGATGTTTGACGAGGCGAATATGACAGAAAAAAATCCCCAAAAAGCTAACAATTGTCGGATGTTTCCAAATTCCATCTTGAGTTATGAATCTAAACTGCCTCCTGTTTGAAATGAAAACAAATCAATATTCAATGAAGAAAAACAGAAATACATTAATAGGCATGATTCAAATGTAAATACATCAGCAAACGTCATACATTTATGATATATATATATACATGATGTGTATTGTTCGCGCATTTTATTCAATAAATGTGTAATGCCCAATAGAATATTCAATAACTGTGTAATGCCCAATACAATATTCAATAACTGTGTAATGCCCAATACAATATTCAATAACTGTGTAATGCCCAATGCAATATTCAATAACTGTGTAATGCCAAATACAATATTCAATAATTGTGTAATGCCCAATACAAATTACATGGTTGTCGTACAATATAAATTAATAATTCGAAACTATAAATGAGTCTTTATATCGGCATTTATTAGGATTGGTTGACACATAAAAACTCAATAACTGTGTAATGCCCAATACAATATTCAATAACTGTGTAATGCCCAATACAATATTCAATAACTGTGTAATGCCCAATACAATATTCAATAACTGTGTAATGCCCAATACAATATTCTATAACTGTGTAATGCCCAATACAATATTCAATAACTGTGTAATGCCCTATACAAATTACATGGTTGTCGTAAGTAATATAAATTAACAATTCGAAACTATAAATGAGTCTTTATATCGGCATTTAGTAGGATTGGTTGACACATAAAAACGGTTTAACCTTGCCACATATATATTTACCTGCCCAGAGTATGAAACTTCGTCATTGTTCTTTAGATTTTGTATTGATCCATTTTAGGAAAAGATAACAAGTAGACTTTTAAAACTATAAGTCGAGATAAAACTGACAACGGCATGACAGAAAAAAACAAAAGACGACTAAAAGTCAAACAAGGTTACAAGGCACAACGTGGAACATTAAATACTGAACAACATGCACCCAAACAAGTTACAAAGCACCACGTGGAACATTAAATACTGAACAACATGCACCCAAACAAGGTTACAAAGCACCACGTGGAACATTAAATACTGAACAACATGCACCCAAACAAGGTTACAAAGCACCACGTGGAACATTAAATACTGAACAACATGCACCCAAACAAGGTTACAAAGCACCACGTGGAACATTAAATACTGAACAACATGCACCCAAACAAGGTTACAAAGCACCACGTGGAACATTAAATACTGAACAACATGCACCCAAACAAGAACTTGGAGTGATGCAATGCATCAACGACATCCATAACATCTGTTGGTTTTGAACACGAGCGTTTTTTTAAGCCCGTGCCTTTAATTTTTTCGAATGTAAGCGAAAAGGCTATCAAAGTTAACATAGAGTATTTTGTAAGATATAAATAAGAAACACTAATTATTAGTGCATCAAAAGTTTATTTATATTCGAAATAAGCTTATTTGGAAAACAATGTCACTGACCTGTATGTAACATGGTGGGCGATGCATGCACAGCCGGTAAATATACTAATCGGAAGACATGAAATATCATGAATCGAGATGGTATAATATAAAAGAATCTCAAGTGATGAAAGAGAATAAAAATACATGAAAAGTATACAAAATAAAGTTCTCAAACCAATTAAAATCCAGGATACTCATATAAGAAGTTTTTATACGTTTAAAACCTTTTGAAATACTTAATATACGTAATAACAAGATTATTAATTTATCAGACGTCATACAAGTATTCTTATGTCAATATACATCATATCATTAAGTATTTGACAGTTTATAATGCGCACTGACTCAACTGTCATACAAGTGGGAGGTTTAGCTAGCTATAAAACCAGGTTTGACTCACCATTTTCTTCTTCTGTACCAAGTCAGGAATATAGTAGTTGTTTTTTACTTGTTCCGTTGATTGATAGCGTTTGATTTTGTCAGTTTTTTTTAATGGACTTCTCCGTTTTGAATTTGACGTGGAGTTTGGTATTTAGGTTATTCTCTTTTCACATACTGTGGAATCAGTATTTTCGTGGATTTCTGGGTACAGGTTAACCACGAATTTAAATTTTCAACGGAGTACACATTTTCTAAAGGCATGAATAAGACTGGCAAATCCACGAAATCAAGTACCTAAGAAATTATAAGTGTTCCTCACTCCACGAAAATTGGTATCCACGACAATAAATGAATCCACAGCAAATACAATTAATTCATTTTAATAATGAAAGTTGTTTCGTTTGTATATTCGCCCGGAATTCAAACAATATAACACAGGTTATTTGAATTATAACAACTATTCTAAGATTGACCTTTTATAAATTAAAATGATTAAGAAACTTATGTTTCCAACACCACAGATAATTTAAAAGAATGCATTTGTGTTTCTTTAATGATAATTTTAAAATATTAGTCAAAAGTAAACATGAATTCATAATAAAAATTAAGAAACTGAACAGAAAAAAACATTTTCTCACATTCTAACATATATCAGGCAAATTAGTCGCTATCGTAGTGTAACATACTAAATAAAGTAATCTGATTTAAACTCTAAAAGTGTAAAGAAATATAATTCATGATATATCAATTTCAAATTTGACATACAAATGCAGACATATTTAAATTCCTGTATGTATCTTTAAATCATACACACTCTAATAAAGAAATCAAATTATCAATACAAACAGAACCGTCATAACTCTTATATCCGTTCTTCTTTTTCGTTTTCGTTATAAAAATAATCCGAAATCAAAGTATTCACTTTCTAGTAAACGACTTATTGTCACTCATTCTGATAACTCAAATCAAATCATTAAATGAATGAATACAAGGCATTTATTTTTAGAGACATGTTGAAATTAAATGATTTGAAATATATATAAAACAAATTAAAAGAAACTGCATTAACTTTACCAAAAAAATTACCTGGTTTTAAGCTGATGTTTGTAAGACCTCTGCTAACAGAATGTTAAAATTGTTAGAGGGAACGTATATATAACATATATATTTTGGTTTCGTAGAAAATATACTTAACAATGGGAAAAACGCACGGTCACTTTCCTTTCACATTCTTAAATTTTAAAAAGTAATGATACCGCAATTATTTACAAATGTCATCAAGAAACTTAATAGCAATAACAAATTCAGACACAAGTTGTCATTTAAAAGAACTCTCCATTGATAAATTTACTTTCAATACTTTTAGTACAGTGTTTTCATTGATCATTATACTACTTCTTATTACTGCTCGTAATAGTATACTATTCATAAAGTTGATTTCAATATAGTATAAATCCAACCAAGGGTGGCATACTTTGTCTGTTGTATATGGACTTCAATGTGTCACAATTTATTTTTATATCTCATTAATTTTATTTCAAATTCATTGGAATATGCGATTAATCTTGGAAAAACAATCGTTAAGAAAACATATTTTTTTTTCTGATAATACAAGTATTTGTTTTCTTTCCAACAAATACACGAAAGTCCAATCATTTTGTTCATTGGGCGACCCTATGACATGCAACATTTGTCAATATTGTCGTTCAGTTGTATTCAAATATAGAAGATCACAGATAATTAAATAAATGTGAGTGTATGACAAGTATCACCATATTATCTGACTGAAAACAATACCAGATCGGCTTTGAGTGTTCCCGATAAAGATTAATTCAGAAAGGCACTTCGGACGCATGCAATTTATAAAATTTGTTTTCCCTTTTTTGTACCCGACTTAATTAGTACAAACACAAAATCGGTAAAACCGGTTTGATCGACGTACCCGGTCTCGCTCCTTTTGGAGATTATATGACTTTAGTGTTATTAAGCTGGAGCTCATTTCGAAGAAATTAGCAGCCTCAGTCCCTCGGAATTAACTATAAGTGCATGATCAAAGTATGTGCAATAATGGCTAAAAAATGTAGACAGAAATGTAAATAAGAAACTCTATTAGTAAAGGTACTATCGAATGTTGTCGACGCACACGGTCTTGCTTTTTTTTTTTAGTTCATTCGATTTCCTCAGTTTCTGTTTGTTACCTTAATCTGTCTCTTTCAAATCGATTAACGAGAGCCGAACATCTGTAAACCACTGTCCTCTTAACTAACCATGACATTATAAACTTCAGATATTGTGGTATGACTGCAAATGATAAAGCTATACACCAGATTCAAATTGACGTGAATGTTAGTAACTAAAGGTCACCGTTTGGCCATCAACAATAATCAAAATCATTATGAAAAATAACTATAAAATATTCAAACATGACAAAATAGGAAAACATTCAAAAGAGAAAACCAAGACAAGATCTCTTATATATCACATCATCATCACATTATACTGCATATATATAATAACTATAAAAAGAGAAAATTGGATTTGCCAAGGAGATGATTCGTATCCCTATTCAGCAAATAATAGTTCAAGAAAGAAGTATGATTAAGTTCGGGATTAAAGAAGAAAGTAACGTATATTATAGTAAGGACTTAGCGACAGCTATGAATAAAATTCAAAACAACGAGAGTCAAAAGAATACCTTGTAACTGTTATAACGTTAACGATATCAATTTTACTGAACCAAATGCGCATTTCGACAATTTATGTCTCTTCAATAATGCCCGAGGCCAAACTATTTGTACTGTTCTTGCAACTCACATTACATATTTCCTAATATGCAGAGCATGCTTTTTTTGTTATTTGTAAATTTTTTCCAAGATGTCCTTCGTGAGAGGTCTTAGAAATCAGAACTTTGATGAATGACAAAATTGCACATCTATAGCATTTTGAGCATAATTAAAATTGAAATATTGCTGCTCCATTTTGTAAATAAATCTGTTAATATGTATTTGCTTGTGTATGTTCAAAAGTAGCATGCATTCTCCACTGTAGTTCTACTATTCTAAATTTTAAATATATTTGATAATATATGATGTATACATTGTAATGTAATATGAAGAGAGCTTTTATAGCTGTGCCTTTTTCTAAATCCTTTCATATGTAATGGATAAAATTATTGTTATGGAATATTAATGACAGATGACCACGGATATATTCAAATTGACGTGACCACCATCTCGTCCTCTTCAGTGATTGTAAAGCACCGAATAAAACTTGTCACCAAATTTGTACCTACCATGAGCAACACAGCGGATGTCATGTTTTTTCATTGGGTTCGTGTTGCTAAGTAGACTGAGTGTTGTATCATTTGTTTTAAAACTGTAGTTTGTATTGTCGTCGCTTTTTGTTTTTTTTTTTGCGTTGGCGTTATCAGTATCTCTTTGATTATTTCTGAATGTTCCATTGGTATCTTCCGCCTTTTTTATCTTTCAAATCAAATATATCTAATTGACTAGTGAGACGAGAAAAGATCTCAGAGATTAAACAATGTTTTACACTCACTCATATTTTGTCGTTTGCAACGCAGACACGCATTTTTTTCCTAAACGGATGATATGTTTTATTATTAAACGAGTTCGGAGTTGAAGCCAGGTATTTAATTATTTCTGTTGCATTATCTATAACTTGTACAATAACTCAAGAATAATTCAGCATTAGTAAACAAAAGTCCGGTTATTCGAATTTATACTTTTCTTACGGGCAACCATACAAACGAATTTCGTAATCATCTTTATAAGTAATTACTTGTTGTATTGATCTTTTTTGGTTAAAGAAAGACAATTCAAATTGTTTCCGAATTGGGGTCTCTCATTACAAATGCCTTTTATGTAATCACATGCAAATACTATGCAATAACTCAAAATATCACTATCAGGAATAGGAATATTTCGGTAAAATTACAGATCAGACGATCAAACATGTCGCTAGTGAACTGAGTCACATCACACATATATTTTGAACAGATATATCATGTTAAGGAGGGGTATTTTTCGCAAATACCCCTCAAGAACATGCTATATCTGTTTAATTACACCGAATGTTAACGTACAAAACGCATTGATGATCGTGACATAAAACGCATTGATGATCGTGACATTACAAGCGTCCAGTCGGAAAGAGTATTTTTTGGCAAATACCACGGCAGAGAGGGTAAGAAAGGCATATCTTTTTTTCATATACCCCGGCGCTGTTAAAAATGAACGATATTCGTTTGATAAAAGTAAATTGGTGAAAAATACACTGGCTATCAACCAATCAAAACCCAGGATTCTTACATAAGGTGTAATTAATATATATAATTATATCGGTAAACCACCAAACAAACTCAGGTAAGTAGAAAATAAGATATAAGTGTCATTGTTCTAACTTTTTCATCGTTCACGGGACTTTTTAAAATATGTAAATAAATAACGTTACCACGGGTCAGTGTGATGTTACGTTACTGTAGTACTTTATTTACGCATTTAGCTCCTTACTTCGAATGTCTCAATAAAGCACTTTTCCAGTACTTTTCTGTACTCCTTATCAGCGCGACGATACTATAGAATAGGAATTGTTCTAAATTTCCCGTTTGCGCATATATTTAAGTGTTCACTAAGTTTATATACCTATATGGAGTTATTGCCTTTCAGAACGACAGGTCATTTTTTTTTGAAGAAACAACCTGAACGAAACAAAGTTTCAATGAAGTGTGCTTCAAGGCATAAAATAATAACCTGCGTCAGGTCATTATTTTCCCTGATTAAAAGGCAAACTACAGATTACTAAAACATTTATTCCATGTGTTGTTGCCAAGTAGGTTTTATTGTACAATTTTCTATCTAACATTTTTAAAAACATTTAGGCATAATTAATTCTTTCCTCTTTGTATTAGGCTGAAACAAATACCCTTTACTCTATTAAATGACAAAATATTCCTACTTTCTACAGGGGAACAGCCACGTTCTTCAAAAGGGAAAAGGGGGGAGGGGGGACTATAATATTCCATCCTGATTCTCAACATTTTAAGAACAAAATGTATTGCCAGACAAAAGAGAGAAAACAATTATTCTGAAAAGTTCGTTAAAAATTGTTGAAAAATTAATCTGCTTTCCGCGATAATAATGTCATGAAACAAAAATAACAAAAAACAAAAACACAGCAACCCTTTTTTATATAGATTATATCATAAATTATTTACAAAGTGACTTCTTTCGGACATCTTAACAATTCAGTTGCTTTTTGCAATTACTATACCATTTATATTGTAAGTGGACAGTGATTTCTAACGTTTATAAATGTATCTAAATTAATAAGTGAGTTTTATTTCACATTAAAAATGAGCCGTAGGGCGTTGTCATACCTAAACGTTTAAGAACATTTAATCAATCCTGACACCCCTTGGTGTGTTATACGACAAGAAACACCTTAAAATATGCATTATCTATAACAGAATTGGCGTTAAGTTCGGATGACTGATTTGTTGTTTGTGGACACGTTCTCTTGCACTTAGCTTCCCACTTGTCCAATGTAATTTTCTTTACATGTTAAGCATGTAATACAATCTATGAGATTTAGATTTATATGTCATGTCTACGTCACCTGAAATATTTGTGCACTTTTAGATGTTTGTGATCCTCTTGTTTCGAGATAGTTATAATTATCTTTACTGCAAACTCCACATCTTAGATCTCCACTCGTTTTTACCGAAAAGGTGTTATTTAGATTGAAATTTTGCTCTTGTTAGAATTCTGTTTACGTCATTCGGTTGTCTCTGATAGTTTATCATATAATTCGCTGGTATGATGTTCTTCATCCTCGCACTTCCCATTAAAATTGGTAAATTCATTTTTATGGCGTTATACAATTTGTGATGCCAGGATCTTGTGTTAACAAACGGAATGATGTTTTTTTTCTGTTTTTTGTTTGGGTGTTCTTAGTTGCGCTATACTGAGTTCTTTAGCTTTTTACACCGGACTCTATCAGGCTCAATGGGTACTTTTGAAGTCGTAGATACGACTTCAGTTCGTTCAGCCTGGTTTCTCGTAGTTTTTTGTCTGTGACTATCACACAGATCCGTCTGGCCTAACAGAA